ATTTCATATTCGTAAAAGTGATCTGATTGTAAAAGTGATCTGATTGTAAAAGTGATCTGATTGTAAAAGTGATCTGATTTCATATTCGTAAAAGTGATCTGATTGTAAAAGTGATCTGATTTCATATTCGTAAAAGTGATCTGATTGTAAAAGTGATCTGATTTCATATTCGTTGACTTATAAATAATTTTTAAGTAACTCAATATTTTTTACAATAAATCAAAATTATCATCAATTTTTTTTACCATAATATTGAAAATGATGGAGCTTGTATTATCCTGATTATCTACTATCCCAAATGTTATTTAACAATGCTTATATTAGGTAGCATAGGTAATTTATTTAAAAACATGGCATTTCAAAAATTCAGAAACTACAATTTGAAATATTCAAATAGATGAAATTTGGGAATGAATTTAAATAATTCGCAAATTTTCTAGAAAAAGTTCATGGAAAAATGCAAATATTTTGAATATTTTGCTCGTTTAATATTAAAAAGTTAAAAAAAAAATATGCTCAAAAAAAAGTAATTCTTCTCATCAAATTTCATTTCTCCTTTTTGCATTTTATCTAAAAGTTTCATTTTTTTTTAGATAATTTTGGCAGAAATGTTGAACTGTATTATTTTGTTTCATTTCATCATTAAAATATCTAAATGATACTATTTCAATCAATATGATAACACACAAAAAAAAAAAAGAATGATAAGAGAATACATTATCATTAATTAGGTATAAAATATTCGATAATCTTACGAATAAAAATCAAATAATTGTTATTTGAGCATTAACGCAATCTATACCAATTTGCAAAAAATGTATGGTAATCTCAAATAGATACATATATAATAGCTAAAAAAAAAAAAAAGTGACTTTATTAATTAATTATTGCAAAATTCTGAACAATCTAACAAGAAAGTATCTTCTGTTTTCTGATAATGAAATATCATCAATTTCCTGATAACAAAAATATCTTTTAAAATTTCGTCCTAAAAACTTTAAACTGTAATTGATAAAGTCATTTTAATCAATAATTCAAATCAATCATTCCTTTATTATACATTTTCATTTGCAAATATAAAAAACGATTTAGAATTTGCATGCAAGAATATCATTTAAGATATGTAGAAAGATATCATAAATTAATGGCATATAAAAAAGATCATTAATTTTTGGATGAATTAAGGAGGGAAGCTTGATTTTTATTTCTCTTACAAGAGTACTTTCTTTCTTTCAACTGTTATCCAATATATATTGTATTTTTGAAATTAATTAATTTAATTAATTTCTCAAAATATCCTTAAAACATAAATTTCAATAAATAAAAATTAGTGACTTTTGAAGATTATTCATGCATTAATTAATTTTTCATTTTTTTTTTTGCTCATCCATTATGAGGAAAATTTTTTCAAAAAACAAGGAATTTTCAAATTTTATCCGCTCGTACTATCAAAAAAAAAAAAGAAAGAAATTTTATCGGAAGGCAAGTTTTATTGTTGTTGTTTTGTTGCAGCTAGTAAATCTTCCATGATCACGATTAAATTCATCTTTCACGCGATCTTTATCCGATTGTTTCGTATCACGCCAAATATACTGCACAAAGATTCGTTTTTGAAAATGACCATTGTCCATTTCATTTTTATTCACTCGATCGAGTAATGTAATAATACGACGAAATGATGGATAAGTTTTCCAAAAACTATAAATCCGTGTCACAACATATACCTGTACCAGTGGTATTGTATCATGACGAAAGCCACTAATGGTTGATGTGGAACGAGCTGGCATCAGATCAAGTGTTCCAGATTGTTGTATTGGGGTGGATCGGGTTGAGTGTAGGGCGTTAAATGTTTGCGCTTGAGAACCAATAATTTTTGCGGCAATAATTTTCCCCCTAGCTTTAATACAATTAACTCGATAAAAGTTACGTAAATTATCCAAATAAAAATATTGCGTTGATCGACTTGTATGACTCCAATGAATATCATCATGTAAAATTGCTTCTGATCCGATCGTTTCACCATCAATCACAAAACAGTAATTATCATCAACTACTACTGGTGGTAGATTATGACTAATGATTGATTCTGGAGCATTAAGTAAATTTTGTAAAGCATTTTCTGTTTCTACCGTCTTTTGATGTATGCTATGAATTGGAATATTTTTATAGTATATGATTGTTTGTTCAATATTTTGTTCAGTTAATATCTCAGATATCGTATTAGCTTGTTCCATTGTTTCATAAATATTTAGCTCAAGCTTAATTGGTTGCATAATTTGCATACTATGACTGATAGTTGATAAGGTTGATGATGATGATGATGATGATGATGATGGTGATCTTTCTTTATCGCTGAAAACATTTATGACTATCTATATCTTAAAGTTTGAAATATTAAAGTCTAACTTAAAAAATAAATTTTAGATTATATAATGTATGTAAAAATTTCCTTATTAAATTAATTTGAAACCTTCGGTTCTCAACTCTTTTTTTCAAAAAATAAATTTGAAATTTTTAAAAGTTAATATTTTCCATGCAACTCCTTCTAAACCTTTTTTGTCTCATTTTTCCGTAAAATGAATAATTTTAATTTACTTAATTCATTAGTATTGTAAAATTAACCTAAAGTGCTGAAAATATTTGCAATAAGTGGAAAAAAAAAAAGGAAAGAAAACGAAAACGGAAACCTTTGCTTTTGTGGCTTGCAAAAAATGAAACATATAATACAGTATATTCGATTTTGCTTTACATAAATATCAAAAATTTAAAATTTTAAAGATGAGAATTAAAATTAAATTTGGTAGGGAAAATGAAAAATCAGATATTATCATAAATCTTAATCCCAAGTATCATTTTGTATTTTTAAAAGTCATCAGTTTATCATTTCATTAAGATTAAAAAAATTTTTTCAACCATTCAAATTGCTATTCAAATGAAATAAATTTCTCAAAAATTACAAAAAAAAAAATAATCAGTAAATGAATTTGATAAAACTGATAAAATTGATGATTGTGAAAAATTACCTGCAAATATTTCATTTGATACTTTACCGCAATAATTTGATATTATTGCAACATATACATATTACGAATTAAAAAAAAAATAGTTGCAATTAACTTAAGGATAGGAAAAGTAGTGTTGATAAGTGTAAAATAAAGTTTTTTTTTTTTTTTCTAAGGATAGCAAAGAGTTTGAAATTGAAATAATTACAAATGTACGAAGGAATAAATTACAAATTTATTTCCAAACATTTAATGTGCGCTTTATTATAATTGTTTAAAAATTAATTTCATATTGAATTGTCAAGAGTGAATTTAAAAAAAAAAAGAAAGAAAGAAAAGAAAAGACAAAGAAAAGGAAGAAAAGTGGGAGAAATATTTGATAAACAAAGAAAACTTTAATGTTTTTGTTGTATTTTTGGAAATAAC